GGACTTTGAGGGAGCAAACAATGAGGAGTTTATGGGGGGAAATAATGAAGATTCTGAGCATGAGGAGTTTAAGGGAGCAAACAATGAGGAGTTTGAGGGAGCAAACAATGAGGATTTTAAGGGAGAAAACAACGATGAGTTCGTTATGGTACAAGATAGTGAAGATTCTGAGGGTCAAGAAAGTGACCCTGAATTTGTAGATTATGCATATTAATATTGTGATGAAGACCAATGCTTGCTAGAGAAGGATGACAAGGCTTTTGATAATTATGTTGACCACGATGCTCCTAATACTGACCCAAATGCTGCAGAAGAAGAAGATGACTATGTTGATGTAACTGCAAGTGATGTTAATTGTTTGGACAATAGCTCGAGTTCAGAGGTTGAGGGGCCTACGAAGAAAAGGAAGAGAAATTGTTGCCTAAGATTGAGGACTTCAAGCTTGAAACAGAGTTGATAAACCCTATGTTTGAGATTGGTTGAAAATTTCCAAATGTACAAATGTTTTGAAAAGCAATGAGAAATTATTCTATGTTGAATATGAGGGAAATTAGATTCACAAAGAATGATAGGGACAAGGTGAGGGCAGTTTGTGTAGGTGTTGAAGACAAGAAATGCCCATTTGTATGCTATGCATCAACAGTCAATGGAAGTAGCATGGTGCAAGTTAAAACTTATGTGGATGATCATACATGTGGGACATTTGAGCAAAATATACATGTTAACTGAAAGTGGTTATCAGAGAGGTATGCTACACAATTATCCATAATTTACAATTGGAATATGGGGTCTTTTAAAGACCAAGTGAAGGAAGACTTATGTGTAATAGCTTGAAGATCACAGATTTACAAAGCAAGACAGGAAATAATAAAAGTGGAGGGGAATTACACAAAACAATTTGCATTACTGTGGGAGTATGCTGCTGAGTTGAAATGAACAAATTAAGGAAGTACAGTAATTATCAAATCTAAAATGGAGGGTGAAAGGCCTAGGTTTGAAAGGATATATATTTGTTTGGGAACTACAAAGAATGGTTTTATTAAGGGTTGTAGGCCAGTTATAGGGTTGGACACTTGCCATATAAAAAGGCCTCACCCTGGTCAAAAACCATGGTGGATCTCAAGTTGTGGTTGATTGGGCAAGGAGTTGTTATTCATGCAGGCAATGAGATATCAATGGGGATCCCAAGTATGCATGCTTGTGCTGCCATTGGACAATTAAACGGTGATCATTACCCCTATATGGATAACTATTACAAGAAAGATTCTTATATGAGAGCTTATACTCCCATGGTTCATCCAATGTCAAGCGAAGATTTGTGGCCTAAGACAAACTTACCAAAATTGATGCCACCTATGTATCACAAGCAACCAGGTAGGATAAGGAAAAAGAGAATAAGGTTAGCAGATGAACCACCCCCAACTTCTAATCCTAATGCCATAAAGTTGTCACGGTATAATTTGGAAACTAAGTGCTCAATATGTAAACAAGTTGGACATAATAGGAGGAAATGTCCCAAGGCACATGAAGAAAGCTCAAGCAGTCAGGTATACCTATCTCATTATTGTCAGGGTTAATTCCAATTTATTTTTAACTTGTATTATGTTTATGTTGTATTTCATTTTTGTTAGGTATCATTAAAAAATTTAAAAATTTAAAAAAAAAAGCTAAGAAAAAACCAGAAACAAGCACATCCAATTAGAGAATTACAAGGCAATCAAAAAGGAAACAACTTGTAAGTACTCTACTTCGGTGGGTTTATTTCAATTGATTTGTGTTTATGTTTCAAATGTTTTGTGTTTATGTTTCAATTCTTACAATCTGCCATCAATTGACAATTATTCTCACATTATTTAGGGGAGAAGAAATACTAGGCAAAACAAGAAATCTTCTCA